TTATGATTGTGAATTATTAACTAAATTATTATGTTGTATATATTTTTTTAATTTTTTATTATACAACCGATCCGACCAATTGACCCAACAATTAAACTATTGAACCATTGACTCGCTTACTTTGCCGGTTCGATGTCCGATCAGGTTCTGATAACACTGTTACCGACTATGCAAGTCCTAATTGATCGTTGCACTTGTTGACAGACCGGTGCATGTGACAATTCTCTGAATGGGAATTATCTTTCGGAGGGGACTTGGGTTAGCTTTGAGGAGATAATTCCTTCAAAGTTAAGTTTTTTATTTGTTGAGTCCTTGATAGCATTACTACACATAGAATTAAGTTGAAAGGGTTTTGTCAGTGATATTTGATTTATTTAATTTTCTTTCATTACTTTGAACATAACTTGAGCTTAATATTAATAAAGAATCATGAAATAAAAGGATCTAGTTCTCTTGGATAATACCCTTATGTGATATTGTGATATCGAGCCTAGCCTTGGTGACTTCGAGTGACTTTAGAAAAAAAACTCAACCTCCCTCGTATCCAAGTCCTTCTTGATTTCATTATGTGCCCACGAGTTCTTTAAGCATATGCATTGTGATTTATGATGTTTTTTATGATTGATTAATTGTGCTTTGGAGTTTAAAGTGTAATAGAAAAATTTTATTCGTGTTTTGTGTTTGCTAGGGACTAGTAAAATTTAAGTTGGGAGGTGTGTTAAGTACATAATTTTGTATAATCTTATGTCTTAAACCAACCATCTTAGCTTTGCCCTATTAGTTGCATATTTCAATTTAGTTGAGTTTATGTTTTATGAGTAATTGTGTGTTTATAGGTAATTAGGTGTTAGGAGTGTTTTAAAGTCGTTTTGATGCATTGTGAGACGTTGGGGAGATGAGTGGACTTGAACCACGGGTATTGTAGCCAAAAGGCCAAAAAATAGCAATTGTATCGATTCCCCATATAGCGGATAGAGTTTGTACCAAGATAACCGGTTCATAACTAACTATAATGTTTTCTATCAATTCATTCTTATCTTGCTACTGGTTCATCGAGGTTTTGTCCGAATAGAGAACTCTTCTACTAGTTCTACTTGCTTTCTACTAATTCATCGTGGACAGAGACGACTTGTACCGGTTCATTCATTTTTTTGTATCGATACAAAGGATTACGATTATTGGTCTGACACTTCCTCTTAAAAATCGAATTGAGAGGATTTGGAGGATCTCTTTTTGACGTAAAACTTCTAGGGCAGATTTTCTAGAGGAGGAGACCGACTTCAACATATTCTTCTTTTGAGTGTTTTTCTCCTAGGGTTTTGATCTTCAACATTTTCTTCTTTAGTCGAGACAACACAAGCATTCATTCAAGTTTTGTTTTTTTTATTTAGCCTAAAATACATAGTACTTTTTCAATTCTTGTTTTTGTGATAATGTTAGTTCTTGTTTAGATACAAAGTCTTGAATTTTATTTTGTTTCCAATGTCTTGTTTTCTATTCAATTGATATGTCTTTCATAATTAATTTAAATTCAATAAGCAATATCTGTGAGCAGCAGTTTAATTCTAACATAATCAGGGGAGGGATTTTCATCCCTGAATGGGTGATTTTGACTCTAACGAGGTATTAATATTTAGTGTTATTTTTATAATTGAATTAATTAATTTTGAACATCTGGGTGATTTGTAAACATTCTTAATTAAATGTTGATAATTGAATTTGACACAAGTAATTTCTGGAGTCCCTACAATCAACATGATACTAATTTTTTCATTAATAACATATATAATTTTTCTAAATTTTGATTTTCATTAGTTTTATCATCAAAATATAAATTAACATTTTTATATAATTTAGTATTTCAATTAGAGTATTTTTTTTCTTGTTTGTAATATTTTTTTAAAAATATTTAACACTAAAAGCAAATCTAAATCATCAAAATGAAATAATTAGCCTCCCAACGAAAATTGGTAAGAGAGAGATTTTTTATTGATATAATTTTTTATTGGGATGTTAACATTTTGGTAGACTTTTTATTGATATAATTTTTTTTTAACTTCTAAGTTGTGGGGTTTTACATATTTAATAGACTTAGCTTTTAGGGTTTTTTGTAGGTCTTATGTTCTTAAAGATGGGTCTTTTGGAGGTCGATTTTTTTTTTTTTTGTAGACTTATTTAGACTTGAGTTCACTCAAAAAACTTATTTGGAAATAAGTCCATTTTGATTTTCATTGTCCAAAATACTCTCAATTATTATATGTAGTCGAAATTTGTTTGAAAAAACTAATAACTTATAAATTGGGAATTGTATTAGTATTAACAACTCCTAATTTGAGAATTGTGTTAGTATTAAAATTATATATACACACACACATATAGTAACATTAAATAGTAACATCAAATAGTAACATGATTAACAAAAAATTTAATTAAAAATCTAATCGTTGTAATAAAGTGACACCATATGTGAGTGCTTAAAACTATTGTCTTGCCCACAATAAAATAAGTACTTGCTGTATGTTGTCATTCTATTGCAATGATTAAATATATAATTAATTTTTTTGTTGAACATGTTACTGTTTGATGTTATTATTTTTTTATTAAACATGTCACTGTTTAATGTTACTATATATATATGATAGAAAAATAGAAAAATAATTTCAATATTAGCATAATTCCCAAGTTAGAACTTGTTATATTTGAAAATATTGAAATTAACAATGATAGATATTATTTATGGTAGGAATAATTTGATGAAAAAGATGACTTAATGGAGTATAAGTTTGACTCTGGTACTTAAATCCCTTAATGTAGTGTTAGATGAACGACATGTATAAGATTTTGAATTTCAATTAACAAGATTTTTTCTTATTCATTTTATTATTAGTGGAGTATTAACCATTATTAAAAAAAAAATTCACAAAGAAAAAATCTTGTTCATTGAAATTTAAAATTTTACACATGTCACTCATTTAACACTGTATTAAAGAGAATCGAAGAAAATGAGTAACGGAGGGGATCCAAAAAAAAAAATACTCCCGGCCAAATATACACTCAAAGATTTAAAAATTTTATTTGAATTAACTACACACCTAAATATTTTAGAATCTTTTAAAAAGGTGGGCCCTAAAGCAAAGACTTTGTTGTCCTAGTTATTATTGAGTCGGCCCCTCCCTTATGGCATCGGTGCAAAAAAAAAAAAAAACTATTGGCATTCACGAAAGGTGACTTAAATAAACTAACATTGAGTTGTTCAAATCTCAAGAATTTTTTTTTTAATGAGATAAACACACCAGCTGATACTGTTATACGGTGTACATACTCAAGAGTAATGAATGTTATGAGGACCTAATTAAAAAATATAATTCTAATGAAATAATTAGATTTTTTTTATCACTATTCATACAAGGGACGTAAAACTTGGTGAGACTCGAACCCTTTACTAGGAGATAAAGCAGAAAAGACATTAACCACTAGGCTATTCTTTTTGCTTAACTTAGTCATTAGATTAGTTGTAAGTTTTAATATTAGATAAAGTCCACTTTTCAATCTAATGATTGCACTGAATTAGGTTTCCAGATTAAATCCAACTAACATTTTACTTAATTATAAGTTTCAATGTTAGATGAAATCCACTTCTAATTTAACGACTACATTGGATTAGATGTTCAAAATGGGTCTCAATAGCATTTTTCATACACCTAATAAATTATCACAAAACTAACTTGTGGGACATAAAAATAAGCGTTTCCAAAAAAATTCTCACGGAGTGATAGATGATAATTATTCATTAGAAATGTACAACATTTTATTAGTAATGTACACCATATAACACTACGACGTGATCTATTAGTTCGACACAAAAATTTCTCAAAATTCATAGGGGTCGTTTGGTTGCAGTATTAAATGGTCGATTATAAAGTCATAACAAATTAAGGCTCTACAGCATTTGGTTGTAAAAACACACTGTATTATATATAGCCTTATTTCAAATTCTTATCTAAATAATACAATGCTTATCTAAATAACATATTGTATCCGTACTATTAAGCTGATTATAATACCACGTGAACAGGTGGTATTATGGTCCAACTTAGGGGTATTAAGTTGTATATTTACTATTTTACTCAATAGATAAACAAAAACATTAATAATTATACAAGATGAATGGTTTTTTAGTCAATATATAATTGTTATTCTATTATTTTATTCTTAATCCAGTATTTTATCAAACACTGAATTATAATGCGTAATATTTTTGTCTCACATTTAATTTTGTATTTTAATTATAATACATATTATTTTTGTTTTAAATTTAATTTTATATTTTATCCATATTTACGAAATTAGTCTATATTACTTAATACAATTCATTCTTTTACTTTACGACAATTAAACAAGCCCATAACATCACGAAATAAGCAAATTCAGGGATAAGTAATAAATAAATTCACAAAGAAGAAATCTTCAATTGCAGCAATGAAGGATGGGTGAAGCGATTTGGGGCGGCAAAACTGAGAGAGAAATGTCGTATTAAGTCCTAACGTGTTACAAGGTGGAGAGAGAAAGTTTGGCAGAGGAGAGAGAAAATAAAAAGATAAACATCGTCAACAAATTTAGTCCACGTGGTTGACGTGTCAATTTATTTATATTATTTAATTATTTATTGATATTGAGTACCAAATAAGCATGCGAGTTTGGTACATGACATAATCATGCAAAATTTTCTAATTAGTCATAACGTCAAGGAAGGAACATCTCTTAGATAGTCAACTGCTTTCATTAGTTGCACTATTAAACTCCTTTATCTTAGTAATTGTTTTTTCATCGCAACTTCCAAACGTATCTATTAGTGGGTCGATGAGTTTGAAGGGATAGTCGATATAAATTTAAATATTTTATAAGAAAAAAAAAATTCCAAAGGTATCTTCCAACTAAACAACCGTCAAAAAAAAAAAAAAAACAAAAACCTTTGCAAATGTAAGCCCCATATTCAAAGGATGTGGCAAGTCATCAAACATAAAAAAAAAAAAATTAATAAGAACAACTATTTTTAATTAATTCAAAAAATGTTGGGTATACACATTCTTAATCCTTTTTGTGAAAAAGTTTATTTTTGTGACACCTTATAATTGTTTTTGTACTTTCTGATCGTTTTGAATGACACATACGAATCCCCTCAACTTATTTTTTCATTATTAATCGAATATTTTTTACTATTTTAACAAAAGTAGAATGGAATGATCTTGTTTTGTTCCTCAATTAAAACGAAATGTCTTGAACAATCAGAAAAACATTTTGATAAACAGGTTTTATCTTGAATTACAAAGAAATAACTTTACTATCGTGACATGATCTTAACAGTGATGAATTTACATAAAAAAATACATAGTCTACGTGTTTCATTGAAAGAATGAATCAATTGTGTTTCTTACATTTATCTTCCTGTTTAAGTAAACCCAAAACAAAACAGAGGGAGAGAGAGAGAGAGAAATAACAACGGCAGAGAGGTGGGCAGTCAATTGCCTGGTATCACTTCACAGGGTACCCAATACCATGCCTTCTGGTAGGGAAAACCACAAACAACAAGCTGCAAAGGAGACCAATTCCAATTGGAACAATGTCCAAAACCTCCTTAGTTTCATGGGCAGGCATTGGATAGAAACAACTCAAAACATTCTTATCCCTCAAAGCCACAGCAATAAACACAAAAACTGACAATATTGCATGAACCCAATCAATGAAACCCAATCTGTACTTGCTAAGGTCTGGAAGATCAGAACCTGATGAAGCCATTGCAGCTGGGTTATCAAACAGCCAGAGTCCTTTGAATGTAGCAAAGCCATAGAAGACTTGTCCGTTTGATTTGAAGCTATCGGTGAAGCTGGCGAGGAAACAAGAGGCCGCGAGGAGGGCGAGGAGGAGTAAGGTCATGGGTCGGGTGGCGGAGTCGCACGAGCCGTTTCCTGTGAAGATTGGTGTGAGGAGTTGGAATGCTAAGAGGGTGCCTGTGGGAAGAAGGTTGGCTAAGTTGGCTGTGCCTGTTAAGGTTTGTGAGATTGCGCGTTGCGAGAGCGATGGTGGTGGTGGCTGCTGTTTTGGGGTGTCAGGCAAGGTGTCGTCAGGAACAGTTGAGGTGGTAGTGGTGGCGATGGTGTCGGATAAGGGTGTTTGCTTGGAGGGTGTTGGCCTTGCTCTAAGAGACATTTTTGGAATTTGGGGTTGTGGATCTGGTAAGATTTTGGCAAGAAATGGTGGCGGTGGTGGTGGAGGAATATTACAAATAAGTTACGAGAGTATTGGTGTAGTGGTGGGGAGACTACTAAGAAAGAAGGTCTCTTTTTTATAAGGCTAGCTTAGAGAGAGTACTTGTGGATCTGGTAAGGTTTTAGCAAGAAATGGGGGTGGTAGTGGTGGCGGCAGCTGTGGTGGTAGTGGAAGAGGTGATGAAGACTAATAAGAGAAAGTCTGTTTTTATAAGGGTAGGTTAGAGATGGTTTCTTGTCTTGAACGGTAGGCTGCTACGTTATGTAGACCAACAAGAAGAAAACGTGGAGATACAAATTTCCATGGCAATTTCTAAGAATTTAAGCATGTTGACATCTTCCATCTTTATCTAATGGCCTTTTTGGACAATAACAGTGTGCACCTATGGCGTAATGCAATGATTTTGCTTACAATTTGGGGTAGAATTTTGAAGGATAAATTCCGAGATACCTTGGGTTAAATCTAAAATATTTTTGTACTAAAAATTTTAGGATAAATCTATGGTACCTTTTTTTTTTTTGGTATCGGACTAATATTTATTATTTTTGTCGGTATTTTTACTACTGTTGTTAGTATTTTTTTCATTGTTATTGTAACTATTTTTACCATTTTTGTAATAAAAACACTTACAACAGTGGTAAAATCGATCGCAAGTATATCACAATAATGATAAAAATAGTTACCACAATAGTGATAAAAACATCCAAAACAATTGTAAATCACCCACAAAAATGGTAAAAAATTTTGTTGTAAATGATCCAAAAATTAGAGGTACATTACCGAATTTTTTTTTCAATACCATAGTCAAGTCCAAAATTTTAATCTTAAAGTTGAGTTTGAACAAAAAAAATTCCAAACTGATTTGCACTCTATTAATACTTATGTCAGAACCTTGCGGCCTATTTGGTTTGCTTTCTAAAAAAATAGTATTCGAAAATAATTTTTAAAAATAATTTTAAGAAAGTGTGTTTTAATATTTTTATATTACAAAATCTGTTTGATTATATGTTTTTGAAAATAAGTTTAAAGAACAAAAATTATAAAACCTGTTTGTACAAAAATCTACAAAATCCCTAATTTTCATCTCCAATTCCATCTCTCTGACTTTCTCGTCTCTCTCAATCTCCAACCACACAACAAACACATACACACACAGAGCAAACACACCCACACATTCACACAACAAATACACACACACATATATATACACACACATACAAAGAACTATATTCAGATCTATACATATATATATGCTAGGTTCGATAAAGATGGAAAAAGGGAGAGTTGAGAGAGAATAGACGAGAGAGAATAGACGAGAGAGCAAACGACACCGATAGACAAAAGAACAAAAAATGGGGGGGGGGGGGGGGGGGGGGGCTTTTGTTGCTAAAGAATTTGATGTGCTGACCTCGTTAAAGAGGAGGGGGTGTTTCCCATATTTTCTATTTTGGGTTGAAAAATTGACAGTTTTTAGAACATAATCCAATCATACCCTTGGTTTTTTGTTACTAAACTCAAATCAAACCTCAATAAATATATTCATATTCTTTCATAATTGTATCTTGTATCCATGATGTGAACCCTAAAATTAAACCCACATTTTAAAAGTGAATTTAAATTTCCAGTCAAGGTTTGAACTCGAAGTCAATTTGTGATAAAAAAAAATTTTAAGCATGAACAATGTTCATGTTAAACTTAAAGTTTTATAATTTAGGTTAAGCTTGAATTGACTTTTCAATCCGTTTAACCCACCCAAGTTGCATCCTAACAAGAAGTTGGTTCCCATGGATCAACCTCTTATTACACCAAGACCCATTCCATTTTGACGGAGGTTTTTTTTTTTAATGGTCACGGGTGTTCGAATCAACGTATGCGCATTTGGATTAATTTTCTCCCTAGTTCAGTCAAATATAGGTCATTCACGCCGAGACTATAATATTTATGAGGATTAAATTTTTTATGACATAAATTCAAGAAATTATCAAAATTTAAATTCAAAATATCTAAATTTACAATTCGTCCCTATTACCACTTCAACTACCATTACCCATTTCAATTTTAAGGAGCTTAACAATTCCATTTCAAGAATTCCAAGAAAGACTTCTTATTTTTTATCCACGCCACACCCCCACACGAACCATCCCCACCAACTACCACATGGCCGCGTTATGGTTCTTTGATTCTTTCTATAGGACTTCTAATGATTCTCAGCTCTGCCAAACTTATGGTCAACAAATAGATAAGCATTGTAGCTTACCAATCACAGTTAGACTTTTTAATGAAAACATATTTTAATTCGAATCTCATCTGAATTCGAATTTATCTAATTAAATATCAATTAATATTTTAATTTTATTTATTTAAATCCGATCTGAATCCGATTAAATTTTTTTGAACGGTTTTAAATTTAGATACATGTAAATTCGATTTTATAAAAATCAGATCCGTACCCAAAAAAAAATCGATATCGTATTGTCAAGTACTACAAATTTTTTGGGTTGAAATACTAGTTTAGATTTATTTACAACAAAAAATTTTTGTAACTTTTTCCAAATTATGTTATAACTTTTTGATTCAAATTATTACTTTTCAAGGTTGGGTTCAATCTTAAGATTGATTACAAATACTATCAAAATTATAAATAGCCCCTAAAAGTTATAAATAATCCTCAAAATTTATTAAAAAATATAAAATTTGTACTTGAGAATATGATATCGATTTTTTTTTTGGGTATTGTAGACTTCCCTCTACCACAAACCAAATAGTTATTTAACTCTCTTAAGGACAACTAAATATTGGGTGTCACGATTGTACTATGTCATCGTGTTAACATAATGTAAACATCAAATGAAAAAAAAAATTCTAGTGGACAAAATGTACCATATTTTTCTACATAAGCTAGGTATTATAGGACACGGATGCCTAATTATTTATTTGTGGGGGATCCACTCTTTCATTTATTATCTTACGAGAATAAATCATACCTGAAGACACGGTGTAACGTAAACTAACAGATTAATTTGAAAAATAGAAATTGAAGATCCTATAGAGAGAGAGAGTAAAGACTGAGGAGAGGGGTGTTGGTTACAAATCTATTTGAAATCGTTGAATAGACTTATTATCCTATTTTATATAGTAATGCTATAAAACTCAAATAAAATTTAATTAATTATAACTCAAATGCATATTATTAATTGGATGAATGAATCCCATTAATTTTTTCAATAGAGTCCACGCATCTCACACTCATCCAAATAATGATATGTATCTGAGTTTTACTTTTGAATTTTATTTGAATTATGTAACATTTTTTTATTTTATATTATAGACTGGTGTATGAGTAATGACATAGTATAACCCCCAATCCCACGCCAAACACACAAAAACAAAAGAGAAAAGGGCGGAGTCAAAGTTTCCAATCTGGCAGGGCCACGTCAAATTGACGAAAATTACAGATTTAGACGTAGAGGGGTCAAAGTTCAAATGTCAATACTTTGAAAATGACAACAAACTTTTTGAAAATTTCGAAATTGCAAGGTCAAAAAGTAATTCCCAAAAAATGAGGGGCAGGTTCATGCATGTTTCTGCCACAGCCCAAGCAAAGTATTGAAAATTTTCAGTATTCGACTTCTATTAATTGATAATTAATCTTGAATTCTTAAAAAATTAATTAAATTTATGATCTAATGATGAGATGAACTTAATATTGTTAAAGTGATCTATTTTAATTGACTTACTTACATATTTTTATTTGATGTGGTTGAGGCTGCAAAGTATAAGTCTTAATCTAATTATTGATCATAATAAGAAAGTCTTTTAGATTCATTATAAATAGGCAGACTGTGTCTCCTCTCCATTTCATACCCTAATTTGACTTATACCATTGAGAGTCACCTATTACCTTGAAGAAAGAAGAAGAGGAAGACTTTTTCGTTCTGTTTCTAAGAAAAAAATTCGAAGATCGAATATCATGATTCACACATGTATGATCTAACCTTGTGTTTTAAGTGTAAAAAATGTCATATAAGAATCGTTAAAATCTTGTATGAAGCTCACCAAAACGAAAAGAGTAATGTTATATCATCTTATTTAGAAACTTAATTTAGTGTAGCTATTAAATTAATTGTAAGTTTCAATATATTTTTTTTTAGATAAAAAGCGAATGCTAAATTTTATTAAAAACTGAATAAAAGGTAGCAAAAACATTGAAGCTTGCTTCTTCCAACTACATGCGTACTTGTTTCACTAATGCATACTTAGATAAACAATTTGCAACCTCGTTGTCGCTCCTTCGAACCTAACATATTGAAAATGTGCGAAAATAAAGTGACCTAGATATGTTTCTTCTCTACAAACATCCCCACTTCTGACTGGTTTAACTTCGTATACCATATAACCTCTGTAACATTCTTTGCATCTCCTTTCAAAATGAGATTCATGACACCTAACTCTTTAGTCAACTTCATTCTAGTAAACGCCGTCATAAATTTTAATGTTAAATAGAGCTCACTTTTAATCTAACAATTGCAATTTGTTCGATCTCCATTTTCCAAAAGAAAAAGAGGTCGATTGGGACTGTCAGAGATTGGAACTACCAGTATGTGGCTCTATCACCTTCCTTTTTCTTCTTCCTCTAGATCTTTTTCTCTCTATGGAGAGTGAAAGCCTTCTGCTATAGGTTTTTCTTCCTGTAAGAAGTCTGTCATAAAAAGTTTTTTTTTTAGCTTCTAAGGTTTAATCTATGGTAAAAAGTGTATTCCGTCCATAAGACTCCTGTCATTGCGAAATCCGGAGAGAATTAGATGTACGCTATTTAATTTATTCTTGTGTAAAAATTCTTGATTCCTCACCGTAGTAAGGAAGAAGATGGGCAATCAATTCTCCTCCAAGTAACGGATGCCAATATAAGTCCTTATGCCTTGTTTGCAACTGCAAGTCAAATGAAATCAAGAAAAAGATCAAAGAACGCAAAGAACAATTTAGAACAAGAAGAAATGGAAGAGCGAAGTTAGACAGATTCACAAAGAATTTGTGGACAGAAACAACAAAATTATATATATCGAAGTTTTCTTAATTTTCAAACGTGTGGAAATAATTAAGTCGTCACCAATGAATTAGAGGGATGCGAGTGAGATAAGCAAGAAAGGCGAGAGGTAGGATATAGTCTAGTTTTCCTTCTCTAGTCCCACTCTGCAGCCTTATCTATTGTCTCATGACTCTCATAGGCCCCTCCTGTTGTGCCCCATCAATCCCATATCTACTACTTTGTCATATTAAAAAGTAATTTCTAATAAAACCAAAGATAATATTTGAAAGGTTTTTTGAGAGTCTAGACATTTCTGATTTTTATCAAGACTTTGCAAAATTTTCAACCACTGCATTAAAAATCACCAAAAAAGAAAAATTGTCGCCGTAATCAAGGAAGATGGTATGGCAAAAAAACTAGATTAATATTGAAAACTAACAACTGAATTTAAATTCTGAAAACTTGTGGCAGTAACTCAACATATACTTAATTGCATATTTGGTACATGCATAGAGAAGCCACATGAGCTACTGTTGCTGTGCTGACCCTGCTGGTGCCTTTTGCTGATATGCTACTGGATCACCGTTGGGGGGTGGTGGATGCACTGCAGATTGAAGAGGTGGGGGAGGATATTGTTGATATGGTGGAGGTGGAGGTGGCGGCCTCATATACCCAAAGGGTGGATAATAGGGCTGGTAAAATTGACCCTGAGGAGGTGGCATACCTGGGTAAGCATGATGATGCCCATGTTGCTGTTTGTCCGAACCACCTCTGTTCTCACCTGGCCCTGAAGGCCCATTAGGAGCCCCCTCTTGGGATGGAATAAGGGCACCCATTCTCTGAGGATCCATTGATGGATAAAATGTCCTTTCCTGCTGAGGTGGTGGGGGAATGTTGAAGTAATGCATTGGAGGGGGTGGGTCCTGAGTGCCAGGTGGTTGAAGGAGGTGGTTCTGCTGCTGCGATATAACTGCCCTAGGCAACATTCCACTATGAGCCACCGCTGCTTGCTGCCTTGCTTCATCTTCAAACTCTGGCTTTGGGGCTTGTGGTCTACCCCACAGCAACTTCAGCCTCAGACCCTTGATCACCAGCTTGTTCACAAGTTCTTCAGCTGCTTTCTCTGCACCTTCTCTCGTCGTGTAAGATACAAAAGCACAAGCTCGTTGGAGCACCATCTTTATTGACTCGATCTCACCATGGGCATAGAAGTGATCCCTTAGGTCCTGCTCGGTGATTCTTGCATCAAGCCCACCCACATAGAGGGTTCTAATGCTCTCATCCTCAGGGGGCTCTAGAGAGGGCATTTCACCTGCCTTGTTGAGCAACTTATTGGCCACTGGATCGTTTACTCTGTATATATATAAGGAAACACCAAATATAAACATCATGAACTTAAAAGTATTCATGCAGAAAAAATGAATGAGCACAAATAAGAGAATGAAATGGATGAGCATGTGGCAATGGAAATCCAAAGCAAATATGACAGGTGCATCCTCAACAAGAAGCCGGTCTAATTTGGTGATGCAGAAAAAAAAAAGAACTCCCTAAATTTTCAGTGCTGCAATCACGTCCTGGATAAAATTATCATCCACAAATAAAAAAAGCAGGTATATTTAGAGCAAAGAAGTCTCAAATAGACACATCTGTACGAAAAGAAAAAGCATACCTAAAAATTCAGGCGCACACAAACACACACATTATATACAAAAAGGAGAAAAAAAAAACCAAGGAGAACATTATGAAATTCAGAAAACAAAAGTATATGCTGTTCTGGGCACAAATAATATGGGGACAAACCCTTTGGCAACAAAAAAAGGAAATAAGAGCAAGCTGTCTGAACAAGGATGTACACTTTAAGCAAATAAATTTATCACATTTACTGGTTAATAGGCTTTATGCTTTGCCAAGTAAAATATGCATCAAATTTCCAATCAATAGATGGACAGTCAATCAAGGACCCCAAACTAAACTTCGTAAGTTATATGCCCTGATCTCAACCCAAACATCAACAACAGAACACGAGGTGACAGTAGACCTTATCTGGATTCCCGTACCGATGTCCAACTTCTGCAGGCACATACCCGGCCACATGCAAGACAAAAAAGCACCCGATGTTTTTTCTTAGATTTTGGACATGTCTCAGACATGTTAAGGACGCATCCGGATACTTATCTTAGCTATAAGTAACAAAGCTAAGATTTTAGGAGATGTGATAGTGGCATTTGTTTTGATAGTATGGTTGGACAGAAATGGAAAGATTTTTTATCAGAGGGTGACTCCTTAAGATTGTTTGATTCTCTTTCATTTTATGCTTTTAGTCTTTCCATTTTGTTTTCAATTTTATTTTCACTTCGCAATATTTAGAGGACCACTAGAGTTGTCTCTTGTATTCTTCTTTCTTTTCTTCAGCTTCTAGTCCATAAAGTTTTGATACAATAACTAGTCGGCATTACATTCATGAAGATATACATATGGATCCATAAGTGCATATGTTGATGGCAGTATGTATGAGATTGAAATTAGATATTGAAATCAAATTCAAGCAAAGAAAGCGTCAACCACTCCACATACCCATAGTAGCGATCTTTAATATTTTGATGTGATAACTCCCCTGTGTTAGGCATCTCATGCCTGTAAGGGCACTCAGCACCTCTTGTACATTCACCCCGAACATAGAAACTGCAAACATGTGCTCGATTTCTCTTGTAGTATGGTGTCGTTCTTTGAAGCTTCAAAATAGTATCATTAGCCCGAACCTTTCCGTATGAAGATTCATAATCAATACCAGCTCTTGCCTGCATACAGCTTATTACATTAAATTGTCATCTCTGCTGAAGTAGAAGAAAAGTGAGCACATACATCTATTGAATCACCCATAGAGAGAGAGAGAGAGAGTAAAGGTTCCAAATCACATCTAACAATTTATTCATTTTATTCTTTTTTTTTTTTTTTGGTTCAAGAAGTCACCATCTTGCACCGTCAATATAAAATTACGCGCACACGAACTGAAGTCCATTTATTTGCCAAACAATTGTTGTTCAGAGAAGTCGAACAAGAAAGAAACTTCTCACAGTATTTAAAAATTACAGCCATTTCCCTGGTAACTCCTCCAGAATGATATGGGCTGATAATCTGACAAGGTAGATTTTCCGGATACCCGCATTTTATTGGCAACAAGCTAGCTAATCAACATAAATTCCAACTAAAAATAAACATACCCTGCGATCATGCTCCTCTGCAAAATATTCCCTATTCACATCACTCTTTGGAATGGCATCATTTGAATTGATACTGAGAGCAGTATCTCGAACCTGAACTGGCAACCCATATTCGAGATCCAGAAGGCAAACTTGACAAACATTTTTCAACTTACTGCAGGTTTGACAAATCTCAGATTTTTTATATCTAGCATCACGACCGGGCCTCCACCTGAAAACTGTAAAGGGTCGTGTGCAAATCTTGCACTCCTTATCATAGTCTGCTTTCGTCTGCATTGAAACCAACACAGGTGACGCAGACGAGAATTAAACTGAATCTTGAGCTTAAACTTGAATTGCCTATTTCTATCAAGAAATTCCATTTTCTTGTTTGGTGCTTAAATTCCATTTTCAGGATGTACGAAATTACAAAACTACTTTCGAAAAAGAAATAAGAAGCCAGGACAAGTAGACAACTAAACCATAAATATAAATAAAAGTCAAGATCCATGGAAGTCGGACACGAAGTGTCCGTCAAATACAAGCTATTATTAAGTGAATGTAAAAGGACTTTCACTGTCATTAACATTTCTACTAAACAGTTTACCTCATCTGAGCAGGCAATTATATTTTCGGAGACAGAGATACCCAGCTTTTGAAATAACTACACAAAAAAATATGCTTACATATACATCCAAAAAGCCCAAATTAAAAAGTGCAAAACATGTGTGTTGAAGTCCTTCTCCGCATAAATTGTTTCTACACACTCCCTCCTTCAGGATTGCACCACCTTAAACCACTTGTTATTATACTAATCTTTACCTCAACTATTCGTGAGAATCATTAAGACATATGATCATTTCAAATACATTATCTGATTAACTAGCTTCTAGATTAATAATATGAGTAATTGAACCTTCTATAGCCAACCAGGTCCAACTTTATTGCTCAGTGGTATTCCCTTTGGCCAACGCGTCAGAACGTGACGGCATAGAATGAGTACAAAAATAAGCTCGAGTTTTCATTCACAAAAGTGTTTGTCTTCCTCCAACTCAAACATATAATTCTTCGCTTGTGATCAATCCATTCTCTATAGTTAAATGGCTTTATATAATCGTAATTCTAATGTTCAATATGAAATTGTAATACATTTGAATGCAGAGTAATTATATTGAGGGTAACTTTACAGTCAGATGACTCGGATCATTTGGTGGCAAGTAGCTACTAAAAAATTATAAATATAATTTTCTATCATTGCAGGTTCCTTATATAAAAGTGGATACCATACGGCCAGGAAACAAATTAAAAATAAATACTTCACAAACCTATTTAAATAACAAGCTGTCTCCTTCCCACCTACTATTTTAAAACCAGCTAAATTAAAGTTTTTGATTCCCCATCATGAACAAACTAACAATAGTCATGCCTAGATATGCATGTTAAATATGCATGTATATGCTGCATGCATAAACCCAAGCACACAAGAAGGCTACTGATTTTGTATCTATGCCTAGGGGCTATCCACTCAGTCTTCGGGCTTGATACAAGGCTCTTGTGAAGTAAGCCAGGTAACCCAGGCACTGGTCAGATAATTTTTGTCCCATATAATACCTCTTTGAAAACAAATTTTGAATCAAATAGTCTCCCAAAACTACCTTACTCTTTAATGTTTTTTTTTTCATGCCACGTGTATACTGGTGTTGAAAACACAATACAAACCCAACACGAATTAGACGACTTTAACAAGACAATCGTTGGATCCCTATAATATGAATATTTTTTTTAATATTTTTCATTTTTTCTATTTCCATATCTATTAATGTTTTTTACTTATTTTTGCAAGTATCTAAACTAAATAGATAACATATATTGAAAACCTATGACCAATTGGTTTGGTTAGACAGAAGAGAGTCCTAGTCGTGAATTTATGGTTCATAGGGCATGTGTGCCGATCCAAACATGACATGATAATAAATAGTCTAGGTTAGTGTCAAATTTGATTAAGAAAATAGGTCAGTTTAGATTGATTAGTATTCAACACGAATCTAAAATGACATAGACCAAACCTAATACAACATGACTTGATTGCCCACCCTGCCAGAAAGTGGTTGTCACTTTAACTTTTTTGCTTAAAATTTTGTAATCTATCGATAATGAATGTTGAGATTAAAAAACTTTTGGGGTTTTTCCTGATAACATTAAATTCAGAGGCAAGGGTGCTCTATTGGGCAAAGAACAAAACCAAGAACTATTATAGCTAGACCATTGAAAATTTCACTCAATGGAGAACTGTTATGGATAGACCAAGAGCATCATTAAAGCACCAAAGGGAGGAGAATGTCATACTCAACCAAGAACAATAGATACCCTTAAGTTCAATGGCAAGTTGCAATCTATTACCTTGTTATTCTCTACCAAACTTATATCAACACAAACACAAGCCTTTAACTAAAACACACACAAACACAGAGCATATATATATATATATATAGAGAGAGAGAGAGAGAGAGAGAAATGGGACATCTAGAAACCATTGGTTTAGCATAGCATTTGAATAAGACGCAAAAATAACCACCAGAAACTCTGATTAAATTGAAAATTAGCAATTTGTTAGATTAATTTTCATGTCAGCCGTGGATGTGGCAATATAAGAATTAGTGTTTGAATTAGTTTCAGCAGAGTGTAAGTTTGGTTATTTAAACTTATTACCCTTCCGAAAAAAAGTTGGGTAATTTGATTTTTAGTATTATTCTTGCAAAAAAACTCACAAGTCTGCTACGAGATCACCCGGAAATATGTCATAATTTTACACAATAGTTTCTAATTTCTTGGAAATCAAAATGTTTCTAGCAATCCTATTCCTACACAACCAAATAATTTGCAGTTTGTGGTTTAAACAAAAAATTGAAAATGAAGTGTGAGACTAGATAAAAAATAACATAAGAAAATTTGATGGAAAGTCTAACCATTCGAACGTACGGATTGTCGCCGAGGCATGACTCACATATGATTGGAAAGTCCGACCGTTCCCAACCATCAGCCTCTACATCTCTCAACAACCTATGCGCCATAACACGCCCTGCGATAAGGAAAGAGAGAGGCTTAGAACTAGACCCAAATCCCCTTCCCTTTTTCTCACTAAACGATTCAGAGATTTCAACATAAAACCCTAATCTCGGTAAAATTTGGGGGTAATTATTGTTCTTTCTATGAATTCCGCGTACCTGAGTCGTGATTAGCAGTGAGAATGGAAATGTACCGACCTTCTTGGCCCCAGAACTACGACGGTGACGCGACGATGATGGCAGGCCAAAGCCTTAGATTTGAAGCGAGCACCCTCGCTGTGTTTTGGAGATAAATTACAGATACACCCAATATTTAGTCAGACAAGCATAATAACATAAACACCCCTTTTATTATTTGAAATACCATTAACGCCCTTGACTGTTTCTTAAACCTCCTCATTTACAATTTTAAAATAAAATTATCAAACTACGGCACTTGAACTTATTTATTAAATTATGGCACTTTAAAAAGCGGGGTTATTTATCTTGGTTCTAGAGTCAACAACTCCGCTTTTAATCTTAGGTTGGCCAAAGTCATTCAATATTTTAATCAAATGTAAAAAAAAGAGGTCGAGCTAAATTCACTCTTAAAAGTGAAATCAACAATTCACTTTTAAAAAAGTGTGGTAATTTGATAAATAAGTTTAAAAATGTACAAAATTGTCAATACTTAATTCTTTACTAGAGATAATTTATGTCTGAAGGAACGGTGTAATGTGAATAATTTTGAAAGATAATATTAATGACCGTTGAATAAGTCTATTTGAGACCGTCGAATAGAGTTATTGAAGCTTACTTTATTTTATATTATAGATTTTATATGCTAGAGCAATATCACTACAATGAATTTGAGTCATTTGATTTCATAGTGCAGATGCACTATTAAGAGTATATTGAAAATATTGGTATGCACTCTAAATGGACGCCAACTCCATGGTTGAATAACCTAAAAAATCCAAATGTTTTTTCAAGAGATCTATGGTAGAACCAGCCTTGGCATGCTTACTAGTAAATCATTTGAATTCTTCTGGGTACCGTCCCAACCATGCAATATTTAGAGTCTTAGACAAGTGGCTACAACATTAACTTTAGATGCATGTAATTACTTGTAAATCATGAGCATTGGATAAACCAGTACTCTTTCAAAACTGAACTCAGATGCATCTAAATGAATGAAAAATGATTATGATAAATGGACAGTATTCTTAGCTAAGAATCAAATAAATAAGGGTAAAAGATTCTTATTGTAGAATGGATGTACCAAGCCCCTTCAAAGTCGAAGGAAGGGGTTCATTTGATGAGCATGAATCCCAAAACATCCTCAAAGAATGCGACTTTTCTTAAGACACATTTTGCAAACAGAGGAAACATGATTCAAAGACAGTAGAGGCAGCTGTTTTGATGATTCTAAGTGAAAAGAAACTGAAGATGTGGATGATGGCCACATCAATTTCTCATCCTCTCCTTTCACATTCTCTCTTATCCATCTCCATCTAATTCTCTCAGTATATCTATAGACACTTTCACTTATGGTGATAGGTCGGTGGCCAAGTGTGGAGGGACACTATAGTGTGCATCATATATATTAGTGGGGGAGAGCCCGGGGAGGCTGGCAGGTTCTACTCCAATTAGACAGGGGACACACATGATCAGTTCAAAAAATTTATGACAACCTTATTTATGCACAAGGGAATATGGACAAATTTGCTCGGTGTATATCAATCATCAGCTGTCACTCTGTCAAGGTTATAACTAGGAAGTAAAACTATCAGAAAAAATTAAATAAAATTGACCAATTTGAAAATTGATGATTGCTTGTTTTGGCTACAATTGATTGCTATGTTTTCATGGAAGAAGCTACATGGTATATATAAAAATAAAAAATTTTAAATCTCATTTTATCATTCAAATCTCCCATTCTTATAAGCAGACTAATAGATGTAGAATTCATGATTCCATGAAATGCTTTATCATGAGTTCCAGTAATGGCATCTACATTGTATATGACTAGTGCAATGTTCTACCATGATAGTTAATCTCTCAGACATTCATAGCTAAGACAATGACAACCAAATTCAGAGATGCAATCTTTTAGGAAAATTTGAATGGTCCACTATTCTTCTCAAAAAAGTCGGCCCATTATATTGTAACATTACATTCTACAAAGAAAACAATTACCACTTTCTTTGAAGGCAGTATTAATTTATTTCCACTGCCTCACAAGATTTAGCTCTGTCAAATTAGACAAAGGAAATAATAAGAAACTCACCACCCTGTAAGCCTCTGTTTTCCTAGAAAATGATGCGAGGACATCCATCAACTTATGGAGGCTTCTTTCACCTTCAGACTGAGCTTATTCAACTACTGGCTCTGTTTGTTCGACTGCATAGTTGAATTTCCTGCAATAACAGTAAATCTCATGTTGTTCCACAATCCTCCTCATTTTCTTCAGTTTCTTAAGCCTCTTGCTTCATAAGATAACCAGTTCGTTTACACTGGGATACATACATCTAAAAGAAGGTAAAGCCAGATGACATCTCAATTCTTGTGCCCTTCTCATCTGAATGTTATACTTCCAAACTTTTTTCCCTCTGTCGATTCCCACACTTGCATGATTTCCCATATCACTTCCATCCTTAACACCATCAACATCATCACGAGCATAATATGAATCCCGCTTTTCCTATTATCACTGAGCATTCCTGTTCATTGAGGAACTTTGCATGAAGAGTTTCTTAATCCTGATCCAATCAAGGCATCTTCCAACTAAGCTTCTCACAGTAAAATTTCAAGGTCCTCATCCTCTCAATCTTATGCATTCCAACTGTTTTTCATCCATTGTTTCCAATTATCTAACAAACTAACCAAGAATTTACATCTCAGTCTCCATCCTCTCATCATTACTTATATCCCTACATCAGAATCAGAATAGCCATACAACTCTACTTTTTCCCTTATAGAATTCTCTTTTCTTTTGCCTCCTTTGGCAGAAGAAGAACTCCATTTTTTACGAACTCGAACTAGTTTTCCCCATCTCCATATTCTGTTCATGAGATCAATATACCGATAACGCATTCCCATCAACGGATGCTTCTCAACCAAAACATCCTTCATATACACCTCCCTCAAAACCACAGTCTGAGTCCTAATCTTATTGGATATATAAAATATCCCAGGATGATGCACCAAAGCCTTCTTAAACCTTTTATTAAACCCCAAATAATCCCCCAAACAAAACACACTGTCTTTCTCTGCCTTCTTCCCCACCATCAAATGAAGCAACTCATGAATTACCCCAACTGTCCACTTCTCTGCCTGATCACTGTTCGGCGCCAAATGAAACACATCCTCATAAGGCGAAATGTAAGGCAAATTTTGCCACTCATCAACCCAATTCCTCACTTTTTTCTCCAAATCAAACCCCCTCGGAAAATTCATCGGAAACCCAATACGCATTCCCCTTTTACTCCCAAAATTCATATTCATTGCCCTCTTTTCCATTGCTGAAACAGATAAATCATCTCTCCAAGAAACCAATTCCAACCCAAATACTTCGTACCCATTTGAATCTTTAATACCCATATCACATATATGAAAATATTCAGGAAAATCAGGTAATAATGTTAAAATGTAATTATGAGGCAAACCCAGATCAAATTTCAACTTTTCAATCACATACAGGGGAAGCTTCTGGGCTTTTGTTAGCATTAAAAGCTTTGCGAGCCTTTCAGCTAAGTCTATTTTATTAGACAACGAGCTTAGAATTTGGGTTTCTTGTCTGTGGAGAGAGAGAGCTTGTAGGGTGAGTTTGACATGAGGGAGGGACAAGGGTTTGGAGGGCTGAAAAATTTGGAAAACTGAAGGGTAATTTTGAAAGAATTTAGTGGCGGTTATGGGGAGGTTGAGGTGGGGTTTCTGGGGAGAGATGGTGGAGATGGGTAGAGTTTTGGAGGGGTGAGAGATGATCAAGGTTTTGAGAGAGAGTAAAGATTTGAGGTTTTTCTCTCTTTGGACTGCCTTGTCGAGGTAAGGATCTCTGATCCATTTGACTTTGGCGTCCACGAAGGTGCGGATGTGGAGGCGGAGATGGCGGCAGAGGTGGTGGAGCTTGGTGGCGGTGGAGTGGAAGAAGACAGCCATGGGCTACTTGAGCTTTGACGTGGTATTTATTTGGATAATTTGAAAGTTGGTAGGAAAATTTAGAATTATTTGAATTAAATTATATTAAAAAAATTTATTTGGTTGTAAGTGTATTTTTTTTTAAAAAAATTAAAATGTTATTCATTATTTTGTTATTCTCTCCCCATTAGCCTTACTTCTCTATTTTCTCTTTATCTATTTTTCTCTCTTAATTTATTTTTTTAAATATGTAAATATTTAGTTTTTTCATCTATCTCCCCCTATTTTTTTTCTCTCTCCTTCACTTTCCCTTTATTTCCTTATTATCTCTCCTTATATCAACGTTACAACAACACAATTACATCAATTAGTTATAATTACCTTATAATACACTAAACAATTACTCATGTGCTCTAATAAACTAAATAGTGCACTAAACAATTAAATAAAATTACAACACCAACCCAATTTGTCATTCAGTTATTTACATAAATCAAAGAGTTATATCATTTAATATCATAATATGGTTATACCAAATATATACACTAAATTGAATTTATCACTATACAAAAGACTTTACTATTATACTAAATTTGGTATATATATATTGGTGTAACAATGATGTAATGCTAAATAATACAACTATTTAGTTTATGTAAACAACTAAATGACAAATTAAGTTGATGTAATAATTTTGTATAATTATTTGGGGTAGCTGTTTGATGTATTATAGGACAATTGTAACTGATTAGTGTAATTGTATTGTTGTAATATTAATATAAATATAAACAGAGAGAGAAAGAAATAAAATAGGGAGAGAAAGAGCAATGGTTACATAAAATAGGAGGAGAGATGAAAAAATAAATCAAATTTTTATACATTTGAAAAGAAAATAAATTATCAATGACAGATAGAGAGAGAAAATAGGGAGAAATGGAGAAAGTAACGGGGATAGAGAATGAGATGGAGATAAAATAAGAGAGTGATAGTGAGAAAATCTAATGAAATCTTTGCATATTTAATTAAATATATAACTGTCAATAAAAAATGCATAATTTAAGAGAGGGTATTTAGGTAAAAAAAAATTGATATCATTTGAATTTTGTACCTAAACACAATATGTTTTATTAAAATTGAACTTAATAGAGTAAATAACTTATCAATATACTTTTCATTAAATAAGTCTAAAAAATTGTACTCACAGCTAAAAAATCCTATTTATTTTTGTGAAAATTAGGACTGAGTCATTTTAGAAAGACTTATAATGACTTTAATCCCTCAAAAAAACTTGGGAGTGAGTCCATTTTTAATCTTATCAGTAAGGAGTTAAGTTCATTTTTTTTTATTTTCAAAAATATTCTTAATAGTGTTAGTTTGATGTGGTATTTATTTTTGTGAAAATTATGACTAAATCCTTTTAGATGGATTTATAATGACTTGAATCCATTAAGGAAACTTATTTAGGGATAAGTTTGTTTCTATTCTTATTAGTAATGAGTTAAGTCTATTTTTTTTTAATCTCAAAAATATCCTAAATAGTGTTAGTTTGGTCAGTAATGAAAAGTTGAAGACATTATTTACAAGGAGTTATATATGGAGTTTAATGATTGAATATAAAAATACTTAATTTACGATGGTAATTGTCAATTACAAGTTTTCCATAATACTTCAAATTCAAATTCTTAGTCATTATTTTATCTGTTATACATTTAAACAATCGATTTTTGAGATTTGAATGGACAGTACACGCCAAGTATTAGATGCTAATATAGTAATATCAGTTCAATAACATCAATTTGAAAACGTAATTTACTAACACATCAATATATTTTTTGATGCACAATTTTTTTTTTTTTGCTTGAAATTTTTTAGTGCACGATTACATCAAAAGCCGACACTGCCAAAAAAAACCCCCGTAAAAAATAAATATTTTTTTGTTTAGAATTGATTAAAGAATAATTTATAAGTCAAACAGGGCGTTGGATTGAATAGACTAAGGTGGTGTTTGGTTCACCATGGGAGAGGATTGAATTGGATTGAATTGAATTGGAATTCGAACTCAATCTAATCCAATACAAAGTGGTCTGGATTGGAGGATTATAAAGATGGGATTCAAATCCTATCCCATCTTTGGATAGGATTCATTTGTTATGTGGGCCCCATTAACATGTGAATATAAAATATGGTAAAATGACCATTTCACCCTTGTGTAAACAATGTGATCCAATCCTATACCATATTTGGAATGGAATGAAAAAAAAATGTTCAATCCATTAATATTATTTTTTTTACAACAAAAAATATAAATCAATAAATTACGCATTTTTACAAAATATACTAATAAATATTTTGTTTAGTTATTTAATTAAATTTGTACAATACACTTTTAATCACAAAAATCATATACATCATGAAAAAGAAAAAAATTTCCAACACAAAAACAATACACATACCGATACCACTCAAGCCTAAGTCGTTATTTGTTTATTTATAGACAAGCTGGAGTTGTGTGTTTAAAAATAAAACTTAATTGTTTTTTTTTCAATGAATAGCTAAATTAATTCGAACCATATTAAATTTTTTCAATGACCCAAATGTAATTTATTTTCCATGAATTTTAGAATATTTTAATATTATTGCCTGAATTAATACCACAAATCAGGTAATTTAAAATAGGAAAATTTCAATGACACCCCTCTAGTTTATCATATTTTCAAGGACATCCCTTCTAGTTTCTGAATCTTCAATGACACCCCTTCTAGTTTAATTTAAACATCACTAACACCCCCTACTATTAAACTATTATTTCTAACAAAATAAAATTATCTAAAATACCCCTACATAACCTCAAGTAATTTTTTTACATAAAATTTTATTAAAATTCGAGCTGTTAAAATTTTTTAAAAAATCATTAATAACAATTTTAGTAAATAATTTGTTAGTAAATACTAATTTTTTATTTACTAATTAGTAATTTTTTTTTTTAAAAAAATCGAGCCTATTAAATTTTTTTTTTACATATTATAATTTGAGTCGATTTGAACTCTATCTGAGTTGTTAGGGCCGATTAAAATTCTCTTTTGAGTAGATTATAATTTATATTTTTTTTTATTAAAATTTGTGTCAATTAAAATTAGATTTATTAAAATTTAAGTCAATTAAAATTCATATATTTTTATATATTAAAATTTAGGCTGATTAAAATTCAATGCGAATTAATTAACATTTGATTTGAATCGATTAAAAATAATTTTTAATTGGCTCAAACAAAATTTTAATTAGCCCAAATTTTAATACGTAAAAAAAATATAATTTTTAATTGGCACAAATTTTAATATATGTAAAAAAATAAATTTTAATTAACTTTAATCAAATTTTAATTGATTTGAATTTAATTACGTAAAAAAAATTAGAAAACAGAGGGGGTCTCATTGAAAATATACTTATCTAGAGGGGGTGTGAATGAAATTTGTCCTAAAATATATCATAGACAATTTAGTAAAATTGTATTTTATTTAATATTTTTAATCTCACAGGAGGTGTCATTGAAGATTCAAAAACTAAAGGGGATGTCTTTGAAGATATGATAAACTACAAGGGGTGTGGTTGAAATCTTTCCTTTAAAATATGTTGCTTTAATTAAAATGTTTATTTTTTTTAGTGTTTATCTCTAAGGAAACAAAATTTTAGATGTACTGAGATCCAACACTACTGAACAAATGTGATTTTTTAATGAGACTCAAATCCTTTCATTTAAACTTGACTTAGACCGAATATTTTTGCACGTTTACTCTCAAAATTAATGTAATTAAATACCGAATGTCAGAAATTAAGTAATATCTATTTAGAAGAAAAATTATAATGTAGTATATAATATAGAGTATAATCAATTTTTTAATAATTTTTTTTTTCTATTTTGTTTAAGTACACAAGATCAAAAAAATGGAAATTTTTTTAATTTATTTTAAACACATGCCAAATTTTATGTTTTTGTTGTTTCAGTAATAAAAAATAAAAAAAATTCAACAAGAGAGATAGGGAGATAGAAGTCAAATGTTGAGGGCAGTAATGTAAAATGACATGTTATTTCATTTGTGGCTTCATCCGAGTAAATGAATCCCACATGCTAGGTGGGTTTCATTTTTCCAGTTCAAAGAGGATTAGTTCATGAATTCCTACGACCGAGTAATTCAATCCCCAACGTTTATTCCATTGCATTTTTTGGATCCAAAGCTGAGATATGTAGGCCCCTAGTATTTGAATTCAATCTAACATGTCCTATCTACCTTTGTTCTTCCAAACAAACACCACCTAAGGGTAGAAAAGTTAATGACATCATATTTCATCATCTTTCTCCACAAGTCCCATAAAAATACTTAACTGTTTTTCAAACAATGAAAAAAATAGGATATAATCATTAAATCCTAACCAATCCAATGATATGTGAGTTTGAGTTAGATAAAAAAGTATATTTTTTTGAACTGCAATCCAATCCAATCCAATTCTACCGTTCAAACATTCAAACACGCCCTTGGTACTCACACAATACTCTTTCATTCTATTTGGTAGGGGTTGTCCAAATTTTATGCTAATCTCTCTTTATACACTCTAAGAAGGGGAAGTTGTTCAATCTTTTCTTAAAATGAAAGTATCAGTGTTGACTGTCATCTCAAAAAAAGTGACAAATAGTACAAGATTAAACACTTAGAGATTAACCGAAACAGTCTTTTCCTCTTCTTAGTAACAATAAAAAGGTGAAGAAGCACGAATACAAGACGCAATATGTTTAATACTAGGACTTCTAATGTGATCTAATTTTGGTATTAAAATTGACTTTTCATGTAGTCCCATTTCATATTTTTAAAATATCCCAAACAAAAATGTTTTTAGAGCGTATATATTCTTGATGAAAATAACATCTTGTTTTGTATATAGTTCTCCACCTCCTATAGAAATAATTCCAATGCTAATGATTTCAAAGAATAAAAATAAAAATTTATTTTTCGATACTATTTTTTTTG